CTCCCCCCATTCTCGTGCTCTCTCTCTCTCTCAAATAAAATCTTTAAAAAAATAAACATCTGTCAATGCTGAGAAGCATCTGTCAATGCCGAGAAAAACGAAACCCGACTGGCCGGGTGCTGTGCCCGCTGAAGCTGGGTGATGGCGTGCGGGCTTCAGGATTCTGCTCTCTCCCTACTGCCAGGCATCTTTGAAAATTGCCAAAATAGGAAACAAAAAAATAATCTATCAAAATGCTCTGGGGTCTGCCCAAGTAGCCCCTACTTGTCGTCTTTTTGTAAGGGAAGCCCCACCAACCTGAACAAAAACAAAACAAAATCGGGAAAAAACAGGGTCCCCAGCCCTTAACAGGCCCCACATCTCCCTGGTTCTGGTCACAGGAAAGCACAGGAGGGACTGAATGACTCTGTAGTTCCCACACTCACTGCCCAGGCCCGCCCAGTGAGCGCCAATCTAGCAGCTTCCATTTGTAAAACTCGCCAAGCTTCCCGGAGAAATGATGGAAAGCACTAAACCTTCCCAGGCCAGACTTACCAATGTCTGAGCTGGCGGCCACCAGGACACTGCCTCCCCCGTCGATAAACGTACTGATGGTCTCCACGTTGATGCTGCCTCCGAAATCTGAAAGAAGCACCAGACTTAGCGAGCCCGAGTGCTCCTCTGACATGTGGGCGGGGAGGGCGGACCGCGGATCAGCCACAATCCATCCCAGAAGCGCCCTCTGTGGCCCGAAACGAGATGGTCATTTACCATATATGCCCGTTTCCCCAAACTGAAGATCCTAAAGTAATGACTTGAATTCATAAACTTTTAACTCTCACAAGTATAAATGACATATCAAACACCTACCAATTATAGTTGTCAAGTTAGTTATACACATTTCAAGTCACATACATATGTTCAGAAATGCTGCATTTCCCCACTCACACTTCATGATACACCACCTGCGCCTTTCACGTCAGCATCTCTGCATCACTGGAACCACTTTGGGCTGACAGTTTCCCAGAGCCCGTCAATTTCACTTCCATCTAAACTGTCTGTGAATGAACACTTCTGAATCTGAGGATGATGCGGTCACTTGACACTGGTACTCATTTGCCCACATGCATAACTTCTCCCCTATTAATCCTGTGATTTAGATCCACGAGAGCCGTAACAGACCCACTTTGTAGACTGCTTTTATCCCCAGAAAGGCTCATTAACTTCCACCCTGTGTACTTATGAGACGGTATCTTTCTTTGGTCAGTCAATCCGGTCAGGGGACTGCCATGAGCATCCAGACCCAGATCAAGAGTCTTCCCCAAAGTGCACCCGATGTTCAACATAAAGTAATGGAGGGAGTGCTCAGGAATTCACTTAGTCATTACATACCATTATTTTTTGTGTGCAGAAAAAAAATGGACAGTGGGAGAGAGGGGAGCTACATATAAAGCCTGGTCAGGGAAGACCTGAGGCACGGAGCATCTGAGGTGGGAGCGTGGCCCAGGTAGCACAGGGGGGCATCGAGAACAACAGGTGCAAGGTCCCCGAGGCAGGTGAGCCCGTCCCAGCTAGGAGCCCAGTGTGGCTCGGCTGGAGTATCAAGGGGCGAGCAAAAGCAAATGAGGCCGTGCTGAAGCGAGGAGGGCAGCTCATGAGGCTTTGCAGGCCCCTGTGAGCTTGGCCATAAGGAGGAGCCACTGGAGGCTTTTGAACAGGACACCAACATGACCTGCTTTATATTTCTGAAGGACAATTCTGGCAGCTCGGTGGAGAATCGGGTACGGGGACTAGAATGGAAGCAGAGCAGTGGGTTAGGAGGCCACTGTGATAATCCAGGCAGTGAAGAGTGGAGGGAAAAGGAGGGAGGGAAGAGAGGAGGAGGAAGACAGGAGATGGGCCTGCACTCCTATTCTGAAGGTGAAGTCAGCAAGGCCTGTGACAGACTGGAAATGGGGGGGGGGCGCTAAGGACAACCCCAAGATTTCCGGCTCAAGCAACGGGAAGGGTGGAAGTGCCATGTACTGAGACTGGATAGAGAAGTCTGTCCATTACACATCCATTATGAGTCCATAATATGACTGTGTAAAGACAGGACTGTGAGAATGGCCCTCTTTTCTGAGGGGTAATTTTCAGGAAAAAAACAAAAAAGCAGCTTACCTTACCTTTAAGCACAGACAGAATATCTCGTACCTGGGGACTTTACCTCTTCTACTACATTCAGAAAGCCATCTATCCACCCTCCTACAGACAGGCCAGGCAGAGTCTGACGATTCAAAAGCAGCTCCTGGTACTACACTACAGTGGACAGTGTGGGTCCCAACCAGGGGCAATTCTGCCTTAAGAGCAATGTCTGGAGGTGGCTACTGCCATCTAGTGCGTACAGGCTCAGAATGCCGCTAAACATCTTACAACGCACAAGACCACCCCCTACAACAAAGAATTATCCAGTCCCAAGTGTCCAGAAGCGCCACTGTTGTGAAATCCTTGTACAGTGGCAAGAACCCAGGCTGTGTGACAGAGCCACCTGGGCTTGAATCTAGGAAACCCCTCCACCTTTCTGAGCCCATGTGCCCATCTATAAAACAGGACCTAGTTTTTTCCGGGTACAAAGGATGTGCTAAAGATCATTCTTCTATGGCCATCACTGCATGTGACTTGCTAGCTTCCTAATCCCAGAGTCAGCGAGGAACCCACTGATGCATGGGGAAGGAAGCCAGGCCGGGTTCTCATACCTGAGAGGGCTAACGGTAGTCACAGTACCACGGAAGGGCCCTCGGAGCCAGGGCCAAACTCTTACCATGAACCCCCCCCAGCACAGACAAGCCTTCTCCCCAGGAGCGCCCATGAAGCTTTCCTGCTGCATGTGGGACTTATTGTGCTAGGCGCAGAAAAGGTGCAACAGTGATGTGGGGCAGAGCTTTAAACAACACTGAGTCTCAGAGAGACTTCCCTTTCCAATTATTTTTCAAGCCTGCTCATCAAAGAGAATGTCTTAGTTTGATACTGATCTTTTTTTTTTAAGATTTTATTTATTTGATAGAGAAACAGATAGTGACAGAGATAGCAAGAAAAAGCACAAGTAGGGGGAGAGGCAAAGGGAGAGGGAGAGGCAAAGGGAGAGGGAGAAGCAGGCTCCCCGTGGAGCAGGGAACTGGACGTGGGGCTCAATCCCAGGACCCTGAGATCATGACCTGAGCTGAAGGCAGACGCTTAACGACTGAGCCACCCAGGCGCCCCAGTTTGATACTGATCTTAACACTTCTCTAATGTTTGCTAGTCTCCTTTAAGTGGAAGCCCCGGACTCAGCCTTTAGCAACAGAAGCTGGCTAGAACTTACAGCGTTTACTCTATTTATAGTTACCTTCTACTGAAAATAAGTGATGATACTGGCTTTCTATTTTTAGTGGTGATACCGGGTTCATTACTGGTTTCCTTTTAAAATATTGTTACGGTTTGTTTTTTTTTTTAAAGGGATCAATTTAAAGAAAACATTAAGTAATTATTAATGGGTGATATGGAATACAATAAAAAATCAGGAAGGAGGTACGGAAATGATTTGAGAATGAAATGATTAAGATTTGAGAAACACTGTTTATGTTCTCTGACATTCCCAAAGAGCCTAGCTCGGCCGTCCCCCAACCCATCTCACCCACAGCTCACTTCCTTCTCAGGAAGCTCCCATCCACCTGAGCACAACTTGTAAGCTCTCTGTCACAGGAATACTTAAGTATCAATTGGATAAGCCAGTGAAGACATTCATTTGTTCAACCACCAGCTCTCTCCTGTGGCTGCTGGACATAACCCGTCCAGTCTCCAATAGGGGGCTTGGCTAGATTATGGCTAATGTTCTAGCCATGAGAAACTGTGAATCCATCTCAATTCTTACCATCAACTATCACAATGCCTCTGTAGGCAAACTATTTAATAGCATGCCATTTTCTCTACCCACACACGCTAACCCAAGCAGGGGCGCTCTCCATCTTTCCTACCAGGCCCTTTATAAGAGAAAAGCGCCTTCTCAGGGTAGCGGGGCCTGCGCTTCCACGGTCCGTGCAACACTTGACCCCACAACCCTCAGCTGTGTATTTTAGAAAGGAGACATTCCCTCCTGGGCCCAGGTCAGAACTGAACATTTTCCTCTTCCTTGGCAACAGTGCCCAGGGCTGGTGACCCATGCCATGACCCACAAAATGCACAAGATCCAGAAGAAAGCGATCAATCAATCGTGGGCCCTGAATCCCAGTTCTGGAAGCGACCTGCAGCCCTTACCTTCTACCGAGGGGGAGAAGATGATGAGATTGTCGTAGAGGAACTCCCCGTACTTAATGAGGGACAGGCTGGGGTCATCTGCGGTCTTGAATGTGAGTTCAAAGGCCCTGTCTGGACGAGAAGGAAACAGGGAGCTGAGACAGACGGGACGCCAAGGAAAAGCACCGCTGCGGAGAGCACGACCGCCCCACCACCCCCGAGCGAGAGGCCAGAGCGGGCAGGCCCTTCGTGGGAAATCAGTGGGAGGGAGGGAGGGTGGGTGGTCGCTGCCCTGGATTCGGGGGCCTTTCCAACCCGACTCTCCCCGCGCCGCCCCCTCGGGCCCCGGTCTCACCTTTCAGGCTTCGGAAAAAAAGCGAGTGCGTCTCCCGCAGGTTGAGGTTGTCCAGCAGCACTAAGGTGCGAGGACCGCTAGCGGAGGCCGGGCCAAGCAAGCGCAGCAGCAGCCACAGGAGAGACCAAACGCGGGCCGCGGCGCCGGGGTCCATCTTCCTCCTCCTGCCAAGAACCCAAGCACCTGGGCACCGGAAGTGCCCCGTCTAGGCCGCCCAATCGCAGCTCGTGGTCTTGGAGCACCACCCGGAAGCGATCTGGGTACTCCGCGGCCAGACAGCCGGAGCTGCAGCTGGGACGGAGAAGAGCGGGGAGCACCACCGGAAGTGCCCCGGCTGGGGGCGGAGTCTCTGAACCCTATTGGCGGAAGGGGCGAGAGGTTCCGCCTCCTCAAAGGAAAAGGCTCAATCCTAGAAAGACAGCTCCGCAGCCGCAGCCAATCAACAAGGCCGAGCGCCCGTAGGCTCCGCCCAGGCCGGACTCCCGTCCCGATCTGTATCCCGCCTCTTCATCGGTCCGGCAAGTCCCCCACGGGACCTGGGGCCGTAGTGGCCCCCACGGACTACTTCCTCGGTGCTGCATGGCGGGGTCCTCCCAGGCCCAGGATAGACTCGGGACTAAGAACCTGGCCCCACCTCCACCATCTCCAGGGAGGAAGGGTTGGAAAACTAAGATGAGGGACCCTTTAATCTCCTGCCGCTCACGGGCCCAGGGGCCTGGGGACGGGCCTGTCCTGCCCGGCCTGGCGGCCCACGTGGGAGCCAGCGTGGATGGGCGGCGAGCCGGCCTACCGACTGAAACTCTCAGGCTGGGTTCATTTCTCACCCCCTCCCTCGCACTAACCTTGCTGCTAGGGCATTTCACGTCTCTCCGGGCCCACTCCTAGGCTGGAAATAGAAACGATAGCGAAGCCCAGCTCTCCCACTTACCTGCGTGCCTTTGGAAAAGCCTGGGCTCGTGGGAGCTGTAGGGCAGGTTCTGAAGCAGTTGGTGCAGAGTGAGGCTGAGCGTCCCCTCAGTAATCCTGGCTCCCACCCCTTCTAAATTGATGGGGCTTACCTCAGCCCCACCATGGGTCTGAGTAAAACCTACCACAAGCAGCACCAAGATTTCAGTTACTCCCTGGGTCCCAACCACAATCCTGGGGCAAATGGTGAAGGTAATTGTGGAGAGAGTAGGTAGCTGTTCCTTTCTGACCTTTCACACTTGTCCACGAAGCCAGGAATGTGGGGGCAAAAGTCAAAACCTCCCTCCATCCATCTCCTTAACTGATTCTACCTCCTCTCCATCTCCACTGGCCCCACTGCGAGTTCAGCCTCACCCCTACCTCGTTCCCCAGTCCAGCGCTCCTGCCCTTCTGCATATGATCCCACACCAGTCCACCTGGAACTCAGACCCAATGGTGCCATTTGGTGGCTTTGGAGTCTGCCACAGCTCAGGGACACCCAAGACTCCTCACTCAGGCTTCCACTGAAACTGATCTCAGCAGCCACATCCTCCTCTCAGCCCTGCTCAGGGCTTCCCTGTGGCAAGTTTCCAAACTTTAACACACTCCCCACCTCCTGCCTTTGCTCATGCCCCCCTCCATTCCCATCTTAAGCCTCCCAGGATCTTCTCCATCCTTTATAATAGCCCTACCTTTCACAAGGGCACTCTGTTCCCCATAAAGACCTGTTCTTCCTCTCAACATGGGTACTGCAGCCTGCCTGAAGTTAGACTGATCTCCAGGGCATGAGCTTGGTCCAGGCATGTGGCCTATGGGATCCACCACGGTAAATTAATGCAAAATACGGAGGAGAAGGAACAAGGGGGACTAACGCAAGGCACCTGCTATGTACTGGGAGCATCACTTACTCTCATAGAAACTTCACAATAGCTCTAGGGAGCAGCTGTTCCCCTTTCACAGATGGGGCCCAGAGTGAAATGAGTCTCCTCTTCAACCAAAGGCCGAGACTCTTCCCTCAGATGGTGAGGCCTGGGATACGAAGGGCGGGGGGAGGGGTGTATCCTCAGTAGCCCAGACAGCTTTCGTTCATTTCTGGCCACGTCAGGGCATCCAGTTCCAGCACAGCCCCCTGAGGACTGTCCGAACCTGGCCTTTTTCTGGGTCTCAGCAAGACACAATCTCTATTTTCCAAAACAAGGGCTCTGCTTTTCTGACTCACAGATCTTTTGAGAAGCTAATGACAGCTCAGGTGCTCTCCCCAGAAAAATGCACTTGTACTCACCAGTGTGGGGAGTTGCAGAAACCCTGCGGCCTGTTTTCAAGGCATCGGGTAGTTAAGAAACGCTGCTCCCAAAGCGCTTCCCCGTGAAGGCCAGGCAGCAGTGGCAGGAGGGGCCCCAGTGACACGGTCAGAGGACTGGGGAAGGGAGCTCATCGGTAAAAGGCAGTTTATTGGGGCAGCATCATGTGGGGCAGCCTCCTCGAGGCCACAGACCAGCTGGGAGTGGGCAGCGTGGAACAGTTGCCCCAGGACTCCCGCGCCCACATCGTCCAGCTTTCCCCAGGAAGGGGGCCCTGGTGGACAGAGACACGATTGTCCATCACCAAGATGCTGTCCTTGATCCACATGGAAGCTGCTGCCCACTCTGTCGGGGCTGCTGGTGAATGCCTTGAGGTTTCTGGGCCCATTGAGGCACAGAATAACCCGGGTGGGCATGGCGGGCTGTGGCAGGGGAGCAGATGTAATACTGGCGTGGCATGGAGAGCCGGAGCGCACCTCTGCAAGGTCGGGTAACAGGGAAGGGCAAGGCTCTTCCCAGGGCAAGGACCCCCTCGGGCATCCGGACACCGTGGGGGCAGGGGTGAGGAGGACTGGCTGGGGCTGCCCTGGGGGGGTGGGGGCTGGCAGTCTCACGGAAACCCTGGGGCAGGACAGCCGCAGGAGGCCGCGTTCACAGAGGCTCACTGCCAAAGCTGCTTTTGCTTTTCTTTCGCTTGGCCTTGGTGAAGGGGACGTCAAGGGACTCGAGGCGGAAGGGCCGGGGCTGGGGCATTTCGGGGGCCTGGGTAGGCGAGATGGCAGAGGTGTTGCTGAGTGGGGAGCTGAGGCCGGGGGGCGAGCTGTGATGCGCTGTGAAGAAGGGGGCAGAGGAGCCAGTGAGCCAGGGGGGTGCAGGGATGGGGAGCCCGCCCCACCCCACCCAGCTGGAGGTCTGGTCCCACGGCTGGGCCCCCAGAGGGTCTGGGCCAGGAGCTTGGAGTTCTAGAGGCTCTAGTAGGGTCCACAGAGTGGGCCGGGAGGCTCAGGGCGGCCCCCACCCCACCAGGCTTGCAGAGGTGAGAGTTGTACAAGCAAGGGGTCTTGACCCACGAGTGAGCCAGACAGGCCTGCACTCAGGGCCCAGCTTCGTGCGAGTGTGACCTCGGGGGGGGGGGCTCAGTTTCCTCATCTGCAACATGGGCACAGTGCCAGGTCCTCAACTGATGTTCATTTGTTTCCTGTGCTCTTTTTCCCTCCTGATCCTCAACTCTACTGAACTCTGCCTCCTCAATAGTCTCAACGTAGAACTGAGATTTGCTTTTCGTGGATATTTTATTAGAAGCTCTGTGGCCTTTGGTTTTGCTTTTAGAAATGGAAGAACGAGGGGCACCTGGGTGGCTCAGTCAGTTAAGCATCCGACACTTAACTTGGTTTTGGCTCAGGTCATGATCTCAGGGTTGTGAGATCGAGCCCCGGGTCGGGCTCCACACTCAATGGGGAGTCTGCCTAAGACTCCCCCTCTGCCCCTCCCCCTGTGCTCTCATGCTCTCTCTCAAATAAATAAAATCTTAAAAAGTAAAAAAAGAAATGGAAGAACAAAGTGATTTTCAATTCTTGCTTTTAAAAGTGTCCCGCTTCTATGGCCCTGTCTGCCCCGTTGGGCTCCGTGGAGGAAAGCCACCCCACTGGCATCTGCAGAGGCTGGGGAGCAACTGAGCCGGACCTGGGCAGCACACGGCGGGACACCCAGCTGTGTGGCGCAGGCCTACTGTGTGTCAGGGGAGAGGAACCAAACGCTGCAGCTCTGTGCCAGAGGAGGAAGGGGGACAGGAAGAGGGAGTCTGGGCACAGAGCGCCTACCATGTGCCAGGCGCTGGGCTGGGCCGCTCCCCCACCTCATCTCACCTAACCCTGGGGCTAGTCATACCCCTCAGTGTACAGCGGAGGGAATGGAGGCTCAGGGACGGGAAGGGGTTTTTAACCCCGGCCTGACTCCACTCCACCCATCACGCCTCTCCCACGGTTGGCAGAGGGCCGGGGAGGGCTCTCCCGGGGAGGGGCTGGAGGACAGGACGTGGGCAGTGCACTCACTGAGGCTCTTCATGGGATCCGTGCTGAGGATCTGGCTGGCTCGCTTGGACCGGAAGTAGTTACTGGCAATGTTTTCACTGTCGCTCCGACTGAGCATCAGCTTGTAGCGGTCTTCTTCCTGCTGAGATTCAGATCCCCGTGGGTCAAGACCCCTCGTTTGTACAAGACCCACAAGCCTGGTGGGGTGGGGGCCACCCTGAGCCTCCCGGCCCACCCTGTGGACCCTGCTAGAGACCCCAGACTCCTGGGGTGGGATCCAGGCAGCTCAGGGCAGCAGAGTCACAGCTCCGGCCAAGCCTACGCCACCCGCCTTCCCTGGGGTGGGAAGTGCCTTGTTCTCCAGTACCACATAGCCCAAATCCATCACGACATATTCATAGAATAGATAATACAGGACTCAGCCCATGGGCATAATCAAAGTCATTAGAACTGGAGCCCCCATCTCTTATCACCAAAGACTGTGATTTTTCACCACTCTAATGGACTTGTTTGCCTCAGCCTGAATCTCCCTTCAGGGACTACCCTTCTCCCCCTTGACATGGTCCTGGTGAGGCGATCATTCACAGTGCCCTAACACCACCACTCCCTCTCGCCCACCCCCTGGCTGCACAACTGGGCATGTGACCCAGCCCGAACCAGCCACAGAAATACATCTTCCGGACACAGTCACTGGTCCAGGAGCAGGCCCCTGGCCCAGGCAGAGCTGATCAGAATCTTTCCACAAGATGTGGTAAGAGAACTGGTCTCTTCCTCTTGGATCACCAGCTGCCAGCAGCATCTTTCCCGCCGCGCCGAGAAAGCCTGCCTGAGCCTGAAGCTAGCATTGCAAGGGAAGCAGAACCGAGAGGTGAAGAAGCACGCGGAAAGATGTGGTGTTTTACAGGAAGGTTTCCTGACCTCCGCTTGGAGGAGGTCTATTTCTATTGTAATACAAAACATGGGAGATGGGAGAACAAAGTGACTTCAGAAGCCCAATTACTATTTTGTGGATCCTTGCGGGCAACTTGGTCCGAGGATACCAGCAATAGCCCAGGGAACCAGAACGTACGGCCTGCCTCTGGGATTGAAGACGAAGCTCCTGTCCTTCACCAGCAGGACGAGCTACCCTGTACCACCTACTTTCCCTCTGGTCTCTAGGACCGTAAGTGCCTTTGAATGAAGACCAGAGCAGGGGGAGGGTCCAACAGAGTGACACAGAAAAGATCCAGGCTCAGCCTCCTGCTTTGACCCTCAGGTGGGATGAAAGTAGAAGCTCAGTGCCCTATAGTGAGGCTGACCCGCAAGCCACCCCCCCACCCCGCCAGCTCCCCGCACCTCACCCCCTCTCCCATAGGCCTTACCGTGCCTGGTTCACCGTTGTCAGCTGCAGAGGTTTTGCGGACTACTTTGTTCTGTGGCCCTGTTGGAACTGCTACGAGAAACACAAGCTGAAGTCACCGCTGCCTGGTCCCTAGTCCCTGCCAGGTCCCTCCCTAGTCCACGGGCCAGAGGGCCAGGGCGGGCGGCAGCACTCCCCCGAGCTCGCGGGCCTGGAGCCAGGGAGCACACTGCCCAGCCCAGGCCATGGGATGACTTTGGGAAACAGAGACCAGGGGGGCTCAGATGCCAAAGCAGCTATGCCCCTGCTTCCTCAACAGAGCAGGTCGGTGGGGGCAGGAGAAACTGATGGATGCCTGCATTTGGGAAATGGAGCTGGCTGGCCTCCCCGCAGGGGGGTGTCAGTGGCCATCTGTAAACTCAGAGATGCAGGACCTGCACGAACATTCTCTGACGGGGGGCGCTCCCAGCTGTGAGGCCGGAGACAGACCTTACTGAGACGGGTGGAGGTGGAGGGGCCTTCAAGGGCACCTTCCCTAACCCCTTCTTCGTGAAGATCCCAGACCAAGGCCCAGAGAGGAACAGTGACCTTCACAGGGTCACACAGAAATCAGCGGCAAAAGCAGGTGACCCAGTTTCTATCCCTGGTCCTAGGACTCACTGCTCCGACTGGGACTCTGGTTCAGTCACTTCTCTCTCTGAGGTTCCATCTCCTCAGATGTAAAACAGGTGTAATCATCTTTGCCCTGCCCAGGCTTGTTGGGGGAGGTGATGAGTGGTGGTCATGACAGTGATCAGACGTAGCACTCACTTGCCATATGCCAGGCAGGGCGCTAAGGGTTTCACACACATGAACACAGGCTAAGCCACCCAGCGATCTTTACGGAAGGTGCGGTTACTGATCCCCATTTCACAGATGAGGACACTGAGTCCCAAAGAGGCCACACAGGGAGCGGTGGAGCCAGAATTCCAACCCACATCTGTGTGATTCCAGAACACACCACTTCTCTCTCAGCTCCCCACCGTCTTGGAGCCCCCCAGGTCCCCTGACTGCTGCACCCACAGCCAGCAAGGCCCGGGCCCCGGCTCCAGGTCAGCCCGCAGGAGGGCAAGCTGCCTGGACGAGGGCTGAGGGGACAGCCAAGCGCCTGACCTACTGGGAGGCTGGTTTTTATGATGATGGGCTCGGGGATCTTCCAGAAGCCATTGTCCTCGTCCCAGCAGGACTCGCGCCTTATCTTCTCCAGGTTGCTGTAGTTACAGTCCCGGCGGATGAGGGGCTGCACCTGCTCCAGGAGTTGCTGGAAGAGCATGGAGTCCCGCTCCTGCCGGCGGATGGTGGCTAAGTAATCGATCTTCTCCAGCTGGAACTCCGACTGCAGGTCTTTGATCTCCACCTCTGCTGCCCGCAGCTGAAAGCAAGGGGTCAGGGAGTGACGTGCAGTGAGCAGGGAAGACACCGAGCCACGTGGCCATCCGTCCACCCTCCGCACCCACTGTCTGCACCTCCAGCCTCCCACTCGCCATCTGGGTGCTGACCCGCCCATCCATCCGCGCCTGCCTCCCGTCTGTCCGCCGGCACTAAATGAGCACCTACTGTGTCCACAGCCCTGCAGAAAACAGGAAAAGAACCCGCTCATCAGCCCCCCGTGCCGGTCCCCTGGGACAATCCCACACAAACACATTTTATCCAGGAGCCTCTGGGAAGGCTCCACACATAACACTGGGGTCACCACGTCCTAAAAGATGTCAGGAAATTGTATAAATCCTATTCGTGAGGGGAGCAGAGGCATAAACTCTCAGCCTCAGCAGCCCTCGCTCTCCCATTAGCCACGGTCAAGTTACAATGTGACAGACACCGGACTTAAGAGGCGACCCACCCTGATTTGACCTTGGATTCCACACTTTTGTGATCTCCTGTCCAGGTCTGCCTGAATGGAGATTCCCCACAAACACAGGTGACTCCCAGCTGCAACCGTAACCATGCTCTCCCTGAGCCCCAAGACTCCTGGGTGCATAGTCTGTTTTCTCAAAGAGCAGGTACAGTTTGATTAGTAAAGAAGGATGTTTGAAGTTCATGGGAATGCTCATCACCTGTAACCAGGTGAGAACAGACACCACCTGGTAGGACACAGGTGGGCAATTAATAATGCTCCATTCCTTAAGCTGGATGGTAGATACATGCCGTTAATGGTAAGAAGCTTTATATATTTTTGTACATCTGGAAGGATCTGGAATCTTTCACAGTGACTTCTGTAACAAATTTATTGAGATATAATTCCCATGTCATACAATTCACCCATTTAACACGTACAATTCAATGGTTTTTAGTATATTCCGACTAGTGCAGTTATCAGCACGGTCAGTTTTAGAACATCTCACGATCCAGAAATAAACCTCACCCCCACAGGTACTCATCCTCTGCTTCTCCCCAACCCCCAGCTCCAGGCAACCACCAATCCACTTTCTGTCTCTCTAGATTTGCTTATTCCAGAGATTTCATATCAACGTAATCATACGATATATGATCTTTTGTGTGTGGCTTCTTGCACTCAACACAGTGTTTTCAAGATTCATCCATGTCGAAGCATGTGTCAGGACTTCCTTTTTAAAGAAAAAAAAAAAGATTTATTTATTTGAGAGAGACAGAGTGGGAGGGGCAGAGGGAGAGGGAGAGAATCTCAAGCAGACTCCACGCTGAGCATGGGGCTCGATCTCATGACCCTGAGATCATGACCTGAGCCGAAGCCAAGAGTTGGATGCTTAAATGACAGAACCACCCAGGAGCCCCAGGATTTCATTCCTTTTTACTGCCAAATAATATTCCACCATGTGGATATACTACATTTTATTTTCCATTCATGATTGTTTCCACTTTGGGGCTATAATGAATAATACTGCTATGAACATTAGTGTACAAGTTTTTATGTGGCCCTATTTTCATTTCTCTTGCTTGTAACTGCTGGTCATGGGGTAACACTATGTTTAACCAACTGAGGGACTGCCAGACTATTTTCCATAAGAGTATCATCTTATCCAATATTAAGTCTTCCAAGCCATGAAGCTGCAGGGTAACACCATGTTTAACCAACTGAGGGACTGCCAGACTATTTTCCATAAGAGTATCATCTTATCCAATATTAAGTCTTCCAAGCCATGAAGCTGCACCATTTTACATTCCCACCGGCAATGTATGAGGGCACTCATTTCTCCACATCCTCGCCAACATTTGTTATTATCTGTTTTATTACAGCCACCCCCGTGGGTGTGAGATGATATCTCTATACCATAGATGGTAGTTTTGCATTGTAGATTTGCATTTCCCTGGTGACTGATGATGTTCAGTACCGTTTCTTATTCTTATTGCCATCTGTTTATCTTCTTTGGAGAAATGTCTGTTCAGGTCCTTTGCCCATTTTTAAATTGGATTATTTGTCTTTTTATTCTTGAGTTGTAAGTGTTCTTTATATATTCTGGATATAAGCACCTCATTGTGATATAGGATTTGCAAATATTTTCTCTCAATCTATGGGCTGTATTTTCTCTTTCCTGATAGTATCCTTTGAAGCACAAAAGTTTTAATTTTGATTAAGTCCAATGTATCTATTTTTTTCCTTTGTTTGTGCTTTTGGTATCATACCTAAGAAAGCAATGTCTAATTTTTTTTTTTAAGATTTATTTACTTGAGAGACAGTGAGGGACAGAGAGTGAGAGAGAGAGAGAGAGCACAGAGGGAGAGGGAAAAGCAGACTCCCCACTGAGCAGGGAGTCTGACCTGGGGCTTGATCCCAGAACCCTGGGATCATGACCTGAGCCAAAGGCAGCTGCTTAACTGACTGAGCTACCCAGGTGCCCCGGCAGTGTCTAATTTAAGGTAACAAAGATTTACACCTTTGAGTTTTATAGTTTTAGTTCTTACATTTAGTTTTTTTATCTGTTTTGAATTAATTTGTGTATATGGTGTGAGGTTGGGGTTCAACACCGTTCTTTGTCATGTGGGCATCTAGTTGTCCCAACACCATTTGTTGAAAAGACTGTCCTTTCTCCACTGGATAATCTTGGCACCCTTGTTGAAAATCAACTGACTATAAACACAAAGGTTTATTTATGGACTCTCAATCCCATTCCATTGATCTACATGCCTGTTTTGATACCAGTACCACACAGTCTAGATTGCTGTAATTTTGTAGTAAGTTCTGAAATCAGAAGTGTGAGTCCTCCTTCTTTTCAAGATTGTTTTGGCCATTCTGTCCCTTGAATTTCCATATGAACTTTAGGGTCAGCTTGTCAATTGCTGCAAAGAAGTCAGTTGGGACTCTGATAGTGATTGCCTTGAATCTGTAGATCAGTTTGAAGAGTATCATCTTATCCAATATTAAGGCTTCCAATCCATGAACATGGGGTGTCTTTCCATTTATTTAGGTATTTTTAATTTCTTTCAACAATGTTTTATAGTTTTTGGAATATAAGCTTTACACTTTTTTTGTTAAATTTATTCCTAAGTATTTTATTCTTTTTTGATGTAATGAAAATGGAATTTTCTTTTTTTTTTAATGTTTATGGATATTATACATTTTTATTTAAGGAGCCTCCATGCCCAATGTGGAGCTTGAACTCATGACTCTGAGATCAAAAGTTACATGCTCTACAGACTGAGCCAGCCAGGTGCACCGTGGAACTGTTTTCTTAATTTTATTTGTGGATTATTTATTGTATGTAGAAATACAATTGCTTTTTGCTTATTGATCTTGTATCCTGCAACCTTGCTGAAGTTGTTAATTGATTCTAGTTAGGGGTTTTTTTTTTAGTGGATTCCTCAGGACTTTCTACATAAAAGATCATGTCATCTGTAAATAGAAATAGTTTTATCTATTCCTTTCCAATCTCAGTGCCTTTTATTTCACTTTCTTGCCTAACTGCCCTAGCTAGAACCTCCAGCCCAATGTTGAATAGAAGTGGTGAGAGCAGACATCCTTGTGTTGTTCCTAATCTTACAGGGAAAGCATTCAATCTTTCACCATTAAGTATGATGTTACCTGTGGACATTTCATAGATGCCTTTTATCGGAATGAAGAAGTTCCCTTCTCTCCTAGTTTCCTGAGTGTTTTTATCATAATAGGTGTTAAATTTTTTCAAATTACCTTTTCTGCATCATTAAGATGATCATGTGGGTTTTGTCCTTTATTCTATTGATATGGTATATTGCATTAATTGATTTTGGGATACTAAACCAACCTTGCATTCCTAGGATAAATCCCACTTTGGCATGATGTATAATTTGGTTTGCTACTATCTTGTGGAGCATTTTGTGTCTATATGCGTAAGAAATATTAGTCTATAGTTTTCTTATGTTTTTCTATGGTTTTGGTATCAGGTGACATTGGCCCCATAGAGTAAGTTAATAAGTGTTCCCTTCTATTTCACAATTATTTTTAAAAAATATTTATTAAAGCCAATAGTCCTCATTTTACAAATAAAATCCAGTGAGAAGACATAATGGAACAGGATATCCCACAGAGGAAAGTAAATAAAATAAAATACCTAAATGTGAAATTAACAAGATATGTTCAAAACCTATGTGAGGAAATTTATAAAATACTCCTTGAGTGACACAAAAATTGATCTGAACTAACAGAAGATATACCATGTTCCTGGACAGAAAAATACAACCTCATGAGGGTATCAATACCCTCAAGCTAATGTACAGATATAACATGATTCCCCCAAAAATTCCACCAATTTTTTTCTTTACTTCTCTCCCTTTTTTACTTTTGCACTAGCCCAGTTGTTTATATAGCTCATTTTGGGGGGAAAAAAAAAACAAAACAAGAAGGAATATCCAGGAAAAACCTGGAATAGAAAACCACTGACAGAGGATTAACCCTATGAAATTATAAAACATATTATAAAGTCCCTAGATTTCAAATAAAGTGGGTGGCACTGGTACATGAATAGATACAGCAAGAGAGATGAACAGAAAAATCAGAGATACATCTAAGTGCTTATAGGACTTTAGCATACCATAAAGACAGCAGCTGAAGTTAGTGGAGGATAAATGGACCTTTCGAAAACTGGTGCTAGGAAACAAGGAGAGCCATGTGGAACGAATAAAATGGAATCAGCTCTTCACACATGCACCCGGATAAATTCCAAGTGGATCTGATTTAAATATAAAAAAGAAAGAAAGATAGGTCGCCTGGGTGGCTCGACTCTTAATTTCAGTTCAGGGCATGATCTCACGGTCATGAGATTGAGTTCCGCGTCGGGCTCCTCGCTCAGCAGGGAGTCTACTCGAGATTCTCTCTCTCCCTCTACCCCTCCCCCTGCTCACTCGCTCTCTAAAAAAAAAAATAAAAATAATAATAGAAAGAAAAAGAAAGAAAGAAAGAAACTATACAAGTTCTAGAAGGAAACATAAATGAACTTTGCCAACTGTGACTCAGAATCTACACGCAATAATAGAAAGTTGATAATTTGACAAAATAAAACTTTAAAAAATTCTTTTGTATGGCAAAAATACAGAGACTGAGGGGTTAGTCTCTGCAAGGCATTGCTTCTGGAGGGCGTTTAGAAGTGGGAGACTCCTTGAGGTGCAAAATGAAAGTCCTGCAGAAACGAGAAAATCACAAAAGACACACTGACCCCTCCTACCAAGAGAGAGAGAGAGAGAGAGAGAGAGAGAGGGGACCCAAAAGTGAGAGCAAAATTTGGAAGACAACCCCTATGATTTCCACCCCTTGGTACGTGCCAGTGACTATGTTTCTCTTACACAGCAAAAAAGACTTTGCAAATGGAATTAAAGTTATTAATCTGTTGACTTTAAAACAGGGCGATTATCCTGGATCATCCGGTGAGCCCAGTGTAACCACGTGGGCCTTATGGAAGGGGCGCAGAGAGCTAGGCAGTGGACAGGCGTTAAAAGAGATGCTTCAGATGAAGGAGATAGGAGTAGAGTCAGAGAGCTGAAGCCTGGGAGGAGCTGGCCCCGGTGGTCTCTGAGGGGTGGCCAGAGGCAGGCTGCCTCTAGAAACAGAATGACCCCCAGCAGACAGCCAGCAAGGACCTGGGAACCTCAGTCCTATAACCACATAGGACCGAATCCTGTCAACAACCTGAGAAACGGATTCTTCCCTAGAACCTCTGAAGGAAACGCAACCTTGCCAACACCTTGGTTTCAGCCTTATGGAATTCTAAGCAGAGGATTCCAGTCATGTTGGAGCTGGACCCTGACCCACAGAACTGTGAGATGATAAATTTGTGTTATTTTAGGCAACTCTATTTGCGGTGAGAGACTAACTACCACAGCAATAGGGAACCGTCTATTTAACGCTGCACTTCACTATAGGAACAGAAAAGCATGCTGTCGACTGAGACAAACCCAGCCAGCCGCCCAAAACCTCACCTCTACTTTCAGCTGGTCTTGAGAGTGCAGAAAAACAAGACACTGCAAAATACACAGAAAAGAGCAGAAGTAGCTAATCAAAGCTGCTCTAAGAAACAGAAAATGAAGGGCGCCTGGGTGGCTCAGTCGTTAAGCGTCTGCCTTCGGCTCAGGTCATGATCCCAGGGTCCTGGGATCGAGTCCCACATCGGGCTCCCTGCTCAGCAGGAAGCCTGCTTCTCCCTCTCCCACTCCCCCTGCTTGTGTTCCTGCTCTCGCTGTGTCTCTCTCTGTCAAATAAATAAATAAAATCTTTAAAAAAAAAAAAAAAAAAAACAGAAAATGAAAATCAAAGCATTTCAGTGGAAGAAAATTCCCCCACAAAGCACGAGCACACAGAACCAAAATGTAACCCAACATCCCAATGTGAATAAAATTTCCTTCAATTCACACATATGAACATTTCAAATCAGTAATCCAAAAATCTTAAGGTGGAAATGGACAGAAACGAAGAAGGTGTAAAATGGGACATCTAACTGAACTCCAGAAAGAATTTTTCAAAACTTAGGTGCGTAGACCAAATTATAAGATATCCCAGGAAGAACAAATTCGGCTGAAAACATAAAAAAGGTATTAAGAAAAAGCATGAAAATAGCCAAGAAAATGTAAACACCACAGAGGTTCAAAGAGGGAAAAGCATCAGCTTCTGCTTTGGCGAGATCCTTGGGTTGGTGGTGTCGGATGGGGACGAGGGGCGCCCTGCGGTCGGCTGAGGGGGACGCGTCAGGGCCCAGAGCCCCTGAGGGTGCACCGAGGGAAGCAGACAGCAGCTCCCCCTGCCTTGTCCTCACTCCCTGCGCTCAGTCACATCTGCCTCCCTTCTGCTCCTAGAGCCACTAACCTCATACTCGGCACTGGCCCCTCCCTCGGCCTGGAAGGCTCTTCCTTTGGTCACAACCGGGCCGCCTTTCCTAAGGTTCAGGTCCCACCTCGGAAGTCACCACCTCCAGGAGAACTTCCCTGCCCCCCAACCCAGGGTGGCCCCGAGAACTTCTAGGGTTCCACTGATGCTCAGTTCCCCAATGTGAGTGCTGGTTTCATGGGTGCGTTCACTTTGTGGAAATGAGTTAAGTCGTGCACCTGTCATTTGCACGTGTGTACACAATCCAAATGAAAAACTAAAAATAAAGCCACCTGATGTGGGAAACAAAGGCAGAAGAAAAATTATTAAATCTCCTTACTGCCTACAGCCCATTGACAAGTCCTTGAAACAGGCAGAGTGACATTCCTCTAGGGACTCGACTGCCTTGATGTTGACACTTTGCTAAGTAAGAGCAAAAGGCGATCCTGGCCCGACCCCTCACCCCCACCCCAACCTGTAAGCCTACTTTAACATATAAAACTTCTTTTGGAAACTTCCTTTTTCTCTACCCCCCAAGATACGTGTTGGCAATCACCCCCCAAGCATACGGCCCACTGATATACACCTGAAGGGCCTCACGACTCAGGTTTTATTAGACGGTAATAAATGACCTTTCCCCAACAGCTAGCCCCTTCAAGGTCCTGGAAACCTTGCTTCCAGAATTCCTTAGAGACTTACACTATCACTGACCCCCTCCCAACTTGAAAGTGTATACCGGACCACTCCTCGGGACCCTGGTGCAGCTCCTTCTGCCCACAGGTCCTGTCCCCATGCTTTAATAAAACCACTTTTTGCACCAAAGACGTCTCAGAATCCTTTCTTGGCCGTGGGCTTTGAACTCTAACGTCTTTCCTACATCACCACCCTCCCCTAGAATCCCCTTCACAGCACTGTCACTGTCCAGCGCTGTCCCGCTTGGTCCTCTGTTGTCCCATTTGTCGCACACCCTCTCCCAGCCCCGCAGCCACGCGTCACTGGGACTGCCTCCAGGGCGGGCGAGGCACACAGCCAGCACGGACTTACGAACGCTGACCGAGGGCCACCTGGGTGTGGGGGGCCTCACCTTCCTCTGCATCTTCTCCAGCAGCTTGCTCTTGGCCCGCACCTCCTCCTGGATGGAGTCGTAGACGTTGAGCAGCACCCAGTCGCCGCCGTCCTCGTCCGAGTTCTGCAGGGCCGCCACCAGCTGCTTCTTGCGCTCGTCCGCGTACCGCTTCCGCCGCTTGTGCTTCTCCTTCAGGTCCTTGTTCTTGGCCTGCTCCCCCCCCACCACCTGCTGCTCCAACAGCTGCAAACTGCCGGCAGGGAGAGGAAAGTGCTCGTGACGGTGCGGGGCCATCACCGCGCGCTTGCTGTCCAGCAGGACGTCGTGGGGGCCTTGCAACCCCCCTCCCAGACACGGCAGGGGCTCAGAGAGGCGAGGCCTCTGGCCGGGGTCAGAGCAGATCCACCCAGGCCTGTGCGCACAGCCGCACGACAGGATGGGCGAGCATCTCCCCGCGGACCAGAGCTGACCCACCCGCCACCCACCATGGGCCTCCGGGAGCCCGTGGTCCCCACGGCGCAGCAGGCTGGCGGCCGTGCTCCCCGGCACCCCGCGTGAGCAGAGCACCCTGGGCTGCGAGCAATATTCGGTGCACTGGGGCCTGGTGCTTCATCATCTCCCTCTGCAGCCCCCACCCAGCTCGCTCCAGCTTTCCTAGCTGCGCGCTCTCCAAACAGCCAGGCTGTTCCCCCCGCTGCACTTCTGTGCCACCCTGTATCTGGATGCCACCCTGAGGCATCTGGCCTGCAAACCTCATGCAGGTGGAGCTAAGCAAAGCTACTCTAAGAAACGGAAAATGAAGGCTTCTGTGAAGCCTTCCCTGACCATACTCCAGACCACACCCTGAACACGGCGACGTGCGCAGAGAGTTCTCTCGGGGCCTGATGCTCGGCAGGTGTGGTCTCCTTTGACCCTCACGATGAGCTTCTCAAACTGGAGCTCTTATTATCACCCATTTTGTAGATGAGAAGCTGAGGCACAGGGAGGTTTAAAAGTTGGCCCAGGTCGTAGAGGTAGGTAGTGGTGGAGGCGATGTGAGCCCAGACAGTCGACTGCACAACCCCCTGGCTTCTCACACTGCAGAAGCAGGCCCTCTGTGGGCCTGGGTAGCTGCCTCCCCCTGGACCATGGGCCCCCTGAAGGCCAAGGTGGCAGCTCATTCACCCTTGCTTCCTGGTTCCCGGCACGCAGCCCCTGCTCAGTTCACGTTTGCACCGGGGACGGTGGGACTGAGTTTGCCACCACTAGGAGGAAGCTGACCCGCTGGCCGTGGGGCTGACTGTCATGGAGGTGAGCCTGACGTTATTCTGATTTCCAGAAGTGAGACCCAACACTCGGAAATGTTAAGTGGCTGGCACAGAGTGCCCCTGGTGGGCAGCCTCTGAGGATGATCAGGGTGGCTTGCCCCTAGGGTGAGCAGGTCTCACATCAGGAGGGCACCGGAGGCTCGCTGGGAGCCGAGGAAAACCTGCATCATGCCACCCCGGGATTCCTGCGAATGCCAGGCAGGCAACAGTCCCTCCCCTTTCTCCTGGAGCAGCTGCTCCCCAGCAGGTGCCTGAGGGAGACTGATGGCCCCTGTAGAGTTCCCCAAGCAGAGCACTGCCCACCCGGCTGATGGCACCATCCCCGCCCCTTGCTCCTAGAGAGAGGATCAGGCCTCCTCAGCCTCGTCAGGTGGGGGGGGGGCGGGGGCAGAGTGGAGGCTCAGTGAAGACTCTACGGGCACTCTCGTCCCCATGCCTGGGGCACAGTCCCTTCCTGCCCTGCCACGGGGTCCCACCAGCCCCACGCCCCAGCACTTACCGGGCAAGCACCTGCTGCTGGTCCACGACAGGCAGCAGGTCCTCGGTCAGCACGGCCACCTCCACGCCCACACTGTCCCTTCTCACACTGGTCGTGGCCAGCAAGGGCTGAGGCTGAGCCTCCAAGGCCACCTGGGCCTCAGCCTCGGCCCCTACGCCAGGCTCTGCTGCCAACACCAACTCCTCGGCCACTTCTGGGCCCTGGTCAACCTCCTGAGCACAAAGAGAAACCAAGGTGGAGGCAGAGAGGCCGGCCCTGGACACAGGCTCCCGGCGGCCTCAGTCCCAGATGGTGGAGGCTGGGTCCCTCATGGCCCCGGACGGATCACTTCTGGCTCGGAGGCACCCAGTTATACAAACGTGTACCTGACTGGGTTCCTACTTCCACCATTTCCTCCAACACCCCGAAACAGTTTCCATCCTGCTCTCCTGCCCCTCGGGGCCCAGGCTCCCCATGGCAGCTAGGGCAGTTTTCTCCAAATACAAATCCATCACGGCCCTTTGCAGATGAGAACCCTGCACAGATTCCCAGTGCATTTGCAGGAAAATCCAGCTTCTTCCATGGTCTTTGGGCCCTCCGTGCCTCTCCCTGCCTCCCCTCTCCCCCCACCCCATCCACCCTGCTGCTTCTCTGGCCTCATTATTCCACTGCTGAGAAAGTCAAGACCTTCGCAGCCACAGGACTTTGGCACATGCCATCCCCCAGCCTGATGCTCTGCCCAGGCCCCTTCTTCCCACTTGGGTCCTCTCTCAATGTCACCTTACAGCCAGGGTGCCCCTGGCCATCCCATCTCCCATCTACTGAGAACCTCAAGTGTGTCAGCTCCTACCCAGGGATCCCGTCCAGAGGCTAGGAGGCAGTTTTCTCTCTCCGCACATGTGGGTAGATTTAAAGCCTTCCTCTCATTCCCCGTAGCCTCTTGTACTTTCTTAAGCAGAAGGGAGAAGGGGGAGCTCTGAGACTAGGAGTATTCAACACGGGGCCCAGGCGCTTCCCTGCCAGCGCCTCGGGGACCCCCGCCCCTGCCCTGCAGCCCTTGCCCTCAGCACACACTGGGCCTCCTTGCTTTAGACCGGCTCCCAAGGCCAAGCAAAATCTGAAAATTGCTGAGCAGTGGCCTCTTAATCACATCAATAATAAGAGGTAGGACTGCTCTGTGACGGGCAAGCTCCGATAAGCTGGGGGTGGGCTGGGGTCATAGTCCCTGTCTCGGGGGTGAGGATGCCCAGGCCCAGAGTGTCACAGGAAGACCCAGGCTCCTGGGACTCCTCCCCCAACCTGAGGGTCTGGCCCGGGGGATGGGGGGTGGGGGG